GGTATACATTCTATATAAAAAAATATGTGTTAATTTCTGCAGCACAATATTATAGATTTTGAAATTATCTAAATAACATAAAAGGAAATGCATACATATACAAGCTAAATATAACATGAATTTCTGCTTACTGAATACCTAGATTATAACTAAAATTAATCTGTATGATTAAACAATGGCTTAATATACAATTCACATGAGAATACAAATTTTAATCTTATATTTGTTACTGTCTTTCAAATTAATTTAACTGCAGGACTAAATTTGTTTATATCAAAACTGTTTTATTTCAAAATATACATTCAACAAGACTTGACTTAATAAAGAAACTCACTTCAGTCCTGAGCCACAAAGCATATTTACTAAAGATGCTGGTACTTCATAAGGCAGATCTGCTCCTACAGCAGCTTGTCTTGCTGGGTTCTGTCCTTGTCCTGCTGTTAGGACCTAAAAATAAAAGTGGTTACACAATTATCTTTTTTTAATGATAATGCTTTTCATATGAATATTTTTACAATGATAACAATTTTCACATGAGAGACAAAACAAAGTCTAGAAGGTAAGGATAACTGCAACACCAAACATATAACTTAAATTCAAACAGAAGAAAAAGGAGAGGGAGAGTTTGTCTACATAGCTTTCTGTTTACAGTTTCTGATCTTTGTCCATGGCTGCTTGTATGAAACTGCCATGTCAGTTCATCTGAAAATATGAACTTGAATCTACCTCAGCAGATCTCCTGCAAATGCATTTATTCCTTTATCTGTATGACAGGTTCTAGTTTTTCTGAATCTACACAAGCTGACATGCTTGTTTTCATTTATCAATAACAACATTTATTATCATTAATTACTTTGTCTGTTTTTTGTTATAACTGAGTTTGATTTGATTTTCCTTTCAATGGTAATATTTCATAAAAGTCTCTACTATTGCTATTTTAACTTCATTCTAATCTCAGTCTGACACAATGTGTTGAGCAACAAAGAATTGACTACTGTCAGCCACCCAGGTGCAAGACAGTTTGGGCATATTCTTAGGAGTTATAAATAGAGCTTTAACAAAAGATTACACATTGTCCCTGACATATCACTGCCTGCATCAGCAAAGGAGACTATGCAAGAAATGGCACTTACAATATCAATGCATATAACACAATGTATTTTACAAACCTTTAAATCATGTGTGAAAGTAAAAGTAAAATACAGACAAGCAAATATGGTGCAGTGTTGCATTAAGTTAAACCCTACAATCACAATGCACAATAATCATTCCTTTCATATTGTAAATGCTTCATTTCCTCTTCACATGCACTATTCTGTTTGATATAAAACTGGTATACAAGTCCATACATACAAAATATATATCATTGTTTACCTGTCCTAAAATGACTTCTGATACATCTTTTGGGGGAATTTTTGCCCTGTCCAAGGCTTCCTTTATGACTATACTTCCAAGGTCTGAAGCCTTCATGTCTCCTAAGCCACCACAAAATTTCCCTGTTGGATCAAAGAAAACATAAATAAATTAATATCAAGATATAGCTTCATAGTCACCATCACCATCATTAATATTATGATGATGATGATGATGATAATTCTAAAAATAATCATAATTAATATAAATACAAATATAAAAACAAATATAATCATAAACAAACAAACATAAACATGAAAATGAACTAAACATGAACACTAATACTAACATTAATATAAAAATTAACATCTTATTCATATTCATATTCATATTTATCATTATAATAATAATAATAATAATAATAATGATAATGATAATGATAATGATAATGATAATGATAATGATAATGATAATGATAATGATAATGATAATAATGATGAGAATAATGAGAATAATGATAATAGTAATAATTATTATTATCATTATCATTATCATTATCATTATCATTATCATTATTATCATTATTATTATTATTATTATTATCATCATCATCATAATTACAATTATAATTATTATCATAATGATAATGATAATGATAATGATAATAACCATAATAACAGTAACAATAATAATGAGAGCAGTAAGAACAATAAGAACAACAATAATGATGATATCATTGTTATTATAATTACTACATTTTTCTTTTTATCATTATCATTATCATTATCATTATTATTTTTATAATTATTATTATTATTACTATTATTATTATCACCATCATTATTTCTTTTCAATAATAATAATAATAATAATAATAATAATAATAATAATAATAATAATAATAATAATAATAATAATAATAATAATAATAATAACAATAATAATAACAATAATAACAATAATAATAATAATAATAATAATAATAATAATAATAATAATAATAATAATAATAATAATAATAATAATAATATGATAAGATTATATAAACATGGACTGTTTCTACAATGGGTACAACTATTTTACTATATAAGTGTATTCTTTATGCCATAATCTATAACTGGAATATTCATATGTAGCCTATATAGAT